ACAAAAACAAAATCAGTACTAATAAGCACTTGTTAAGTTTATTGAGTCCAGTTTTTGTATGGTATTTGTTACTGCTATGTTTTCCAATCTGTTTGAAAATATCATCAGAATATGCTGTTCATTGCAGAAACAATATTCTCTTTTTATTTGATATTCAGTACGTGTCCATTCCACCAATTTTGATGCACTTCAATATACACGCGAAAACCTTTTGCGTGTCTCTGATTTCTCACAATTTTGCCAAGCCTGATTTTTAAAGATCACTTTTGAGTGACTACATATTGGGCGTTTCTTAACAAAGATGAACTATTAATGTGTCAGATGATGCAGAATTTATTCAGCAATAAATTGGTATGCTGCATGAGCTGATTGTGCAAGCCTATAACACGATGATTGGGTGATTACATTTTAAAGTTTCTTTTGGACGCCACTATTATATTGTTCAAAGATTAAGGCCCCACCAAGCAGAATGTGAAAGCCACGACAACAAGCAAGGAATCAGAAAAAAATGGTTATCTTGTAATAAACTGTGCAATGGAGTTCTTACAACACATTCGCCAAAAAGAAAAAAAGGAACGGTCTAGTATGGTTCTACGCCTTTCTGTTAGTACATGAATTGAAAATGTAAGACATTCAAATTATAACATAATAATATGTACATACGTCTATCTCCTATGGGAGCAAAAAAGTAGGCAGAGAGTCTTAAATTAAAACTCTTGTAAAACCCAGAGCAAAAACAGCGCGTAAAGTGAGCAATATAATGCAGTAAGTCCAGATGTAGTATATTTCAATCAATAAATTATAAAAATGAAAAAAAAAACGAACAAAAAAACAAACAAACGGATAAACAAACAGACAGACAAACAAACACAGCAGTCTGGCCGTTGAAAAAATATATATCACGACTATACTCTATACAAGACATTAATGGTCCCTTCAAAGAAGCTGACACTTATCTGATTTTGTGTAGAATGTCTTATTGCATGTAATGTAATAGGCCTACATATTATTATGTAATAGCATGATTGTTCAGGGTGAAGGCAGTTTGGCTGTACTCTGTTCAATTTCTAAATATCAGTCGTGTGTATTATTTTCAGGCCAGTGGGACCCGATTTTCAAGGAATAAAGTAATAAAGTAATACAAAATTTATATAACAGAAAAGTTAGCAGATGCTCGATTTCATATAAATGATAATAATACTAATAATGTTAATGACGATCACGAGAATGATGACGAAGATGATGAAGATGATGATGATAACGATGAAAGTGGTAATATCAATATTATAATTAATAGTAATGATGATGATGTGATGATATAATAATTGTAATA